ATTCTTGGTTTTGAGAATTTTATTTTCTGTTAAGAAAAATTATTAGCAACACCTTGGATTTTAGGCATAGTTGTTAAAGTAGGGAATAGTTGTTTTAGTTATTCAATAAGGAAAATTAAGATTTGATAATAATCAGTACTTTGGATTCTATGTCGTAATTTGTTTAATAATAATTGTATAAATTGTTTATTTATTCTAGATATAAATTATTGCATTTAATCAAAATGATTATTTATATGAATTTAGATCAATAACATAAATCATATAGATAATTGTATTTATTTAATTTTGATGGCACCTCATTTCTTTAAGTTATATTATAATATATGCAGCATATTCTAATTAAATATAATTGGGACAATTAATTAGAAATAAATCATTTCATGCCAAATTGATAAATATTTAGAAAAATAATATCTTACAATAAGTGTAGAAGCTTTTATTGAATAATCTTTTAAATTAAAAGAATTATCTTCAATAACTAATATTGTGATTTTGAGGAATCAAAATTTTTATCATTTTTAGAAACAGCAGAAAAGAATTAAATAAACAAGATTAAGGTAAAATATAACTATTAAGATTTATTAGATTATAAATGAATAATTAATTAAGTTCTTAAATCTTGAATTATGATATGGAGAGTTAAAGTATAGAGATTTTATTTAGTCAAAGAGAATGTATAGTTAATTAAATTCCAAATTCAGTAGAAGGCAGGTTTATAAATTAATAAGATGACATTGATGATTTAAACATAGATTAAGTTCAATAAATATTTCAAAAGTAAATATAAAATGACAAAATTTCATTTGAAAAATTAGATTAAGGGGATCATCAAAGATAATCAAATTAATAAAAGAGTTCAAAAATTTATTAATCATCAAAAGATTAATTAAAATAAGATAAATACTTTATTGATTAAATTATTTTATACAAGTCTATGATTTAGAATAATTAATAAACTCATCTAATTCCATTATTTTTGTAATTAGCTATGAATCATATTGCCTTCTCGAAATTACTAATAACTGAAAAAAAAGAATAAAAAGTGAAAAATAAATTTCTTGGCTTGCTTGATTAAAAATAGGCCAATTCGCCTAAAATTTTGGGTTATGAATTCATTTGTGTTAACAATGTTTAGGATTATATTAATAATAATAAAATAGATAATAATAACATTATATACTATAAATTAACAAAGAACTTTATTCATTTAAATTGGTTAATACTAAATTACATATACAAAATCAAAGATTTTATTTGCTTTTTGAAATGGATGAACTATCATAAGATGCTGATCAACAATACATTTTTATTTTTAAGAGAATCAAATGTTAGAAAAAATGAAAGTATTGAAGATAAGGTATTAAAAAATTAATCAGATTCATTACATTATATCTACTATTATTATTGTTTTTTAAGCCAAAATGAAGCAAATTTATATTTATCTTCTGCAGAAAGTAATAATTCAGAAAATTAATTATATACTCTTATGTAACAATTACTTAAATTAAATATCATTTTTGGTTTAAATTATGAACTAAAACATGATTGTTAAAATTTTATGAGAAATATTAGGAAGTCAGATTATTAATTATTCATATACAGGTAGAATTAAGAAATTTCAGCTACCTCTTTTTTGTTTTAATCTTAATTGTTATAATAAAATGATATAATATGTCATTTTAATTAGTAAAATGAAGAAGATTTAAGAGCTTATTTTAAATAATGTTTGGAAGAATTTTCAAATTAGTTTTCTTAAGCTAGTATCAATAGCTTTCAATTCATCAAAATTTGTAATGATAATTTAGAAAGCCTAATGATATAGATTGTATTGATGAGGTATCAAGAACAAAAAAAGTAGTTTTGATTTTGAAAAATTAAACTTGTTAATAAATAATGGATAATATTTATTTCAAAAACCATTTGAAATTATTACTCAATTTTACAAAAGTATTATTTTTATACTAAGCAACACAAGATTAATTTAATTTTGTTTAAGATGTTAGGTGCAATTCAGAGAAAACTATTACTTTATTATATGAAAATCGAAGCTTATTAAGATGTATTAATTAATTGCAATCATTTAGCTTATTTGAAGATTAAAAAAATTGAGAAAATTGGGAAAGGCAATTTCTTTAAAGGACTGAGTTTATCTTTGAAATAAAGATTAAATTATGAAAAATGTTATTTTAATGAATTGTAAATTAATTCAAATACAGATGTTATTATTTAAGGTTTTAAAGATCTGGATAAATTATTATTTTTTTAAAGTCCTTTATTAAAAATATTATTTAGATCATTATAATAATAAACATTTTATAAAACAATGACATTTATATCTTATTTTACTTTTACTCAAATTCTATACTCATGGAATACTTTAGATTAATGAAATTATTTGGTTGAATTATCTTTTATTTTTACATTTACTTATTCTTTTTGTTTGGTATTTAGCATTATTCATTTCTTGATGATTCATAAAAATTAAATTATAATAGAAATTAATCTCTATTACTTTAAAAATACTCTAAACATAAATCTGAAACTGAAATACAAATAATAATAGCAATTAAGAATAATGTTTAAGGAATACTTACTTCATCTATTTTCTTATATGATGTTTATCAAAGAGAATTTTATTTATATATTTTTATGTCAATTAGTATTAGTGATTGGCTCTACATAATAATACATTTAGGAATAAAATAAAAAATTATAACTTGCTGTGTTTTTCCACTTCTCTTTTACATCTATACGTTGACAGCTTCTTCAGATAATATATTATTTGATTATTTATAAAATTATAGTTTGAATGATTTACCTACAAAAGAAGAAGAATTTGTCAACTATTTTAATTATATTCATATAATAAGTGCTCCTTCATAAAAAAAGAAGACTGTTACTGTTTTATAAAATAAAGTAAACGATCTTTTTGATAATATAGAACAAGTAGATTTAAGCATTCAAAAATGTAAAAAATTAATTATTATTACATTTTAGTATTACTAAATGAACCAAATTGTTTCATATAGAATTGCAACTATTGGTTCTATGGGATTTAATGCAAATAACTTCATGGAAGTTTTTCTAATTAAAAAACCAAATCATCAATTAAGTTTAAATCATCTTTTTATAAATTCAAAATTTAGAAGCTGCCTCTTTTAGCTAAAACATATAAATTATTTGAATCCTTAGATATTTATAATTGCACAATTTCACAGCTAAATTATTCTATTATCTAACTTGTAATTTAAGTTTAAA